TGATATGCCGCCTGCCTCATTATTTAGGATGGGGTTTTTGTAGACCCTGGTCCTCTCGTGAGTTATTTAGTTTTCCAAAAGCATTCACCAGTAGATATGGCTGGACAGCGGATCTGAACTATTGCTTGTGCAATTACTTAGCTCTATCTGTCACTTGCTGTCTATGGTGGCTAGCATACAGGTAGTTGTGTTTTGGAGCTTCATCAAGTTGACACTTGCCCTTTTGGTATGCCTGGTGCTGCTCCTGCTATGCCCTTCTCCACTATTTATTGATCTAGGGTTGAAGCCCTGGATAAATCATAATTGTAGGATGTGGGATATACCGAGCCAAGAAGTTGCAGATTGTTGGAATACAACTCTGCTGCTGATGGGTTACAGCACATTTATTTAGTAGATGGGGTTGATTGACTCATGGGGAATGAATTGACTGGAGTTAAAGTTGAAACTTTGCCTACATTCTTGCGGAGTTCGGGTGATGTTAAAGAGAGGGAAAAGTTGCAAGAGCTGTGGGTTTTTTTTTAATGTATGTAGTGACCAGAGGAATGACTAATGAAAGTTCATAATCAGAGGTCACAGTAATACCACACACAGTTGTTTAAGGTAGATGAAACTCTGCTTAAGAATGCAGGTAATTGAAAAGAAGTGTTTGGCATGTCTTTGTTAATTGTGGCTCAGGTGGAAGATATGGAGTTTATTAACATATTGTAGATGGCTCACACCAAAGATAAGGCTGAAGAAATTTTTGAGTGCTATTACCTTAAAAATGGAATTCTGATGTGGAAGTGGAAGCTTTCTCATAGACCTTCAGATAAATTGCAGACAATTGTTCAACAAACAATCATACTAGCCAGATATTATAGGAAGATATTGCAAGGAGCATCTGAAGCTCCAATGGCAAGACATGCAGGAATACAGAAAATACAGGCTTTGACAAATAGGCATTTTATCTGACCAGGACTTTATAAGAGTGTAGCAAAGTTCCATAAAGCATGCCATCATGTCAGATGGTGTAAAAACCTGAATATATAATCAAACCAACACTTTGATACCCATACCAGTGTCTGAAGAATCATTCTGTTGTGCATTCTGAGATTGTGTAGGACCAATACCAAAGCTGAAATCAGAGCAACATGAAATCCTTACATTTATGGATTTGACAACTCGGTTTCCAGAAAATATTCCTTTAAGGATAATTTCAGCTTAAATAAAAGTGGAAAATTCGACTTTTTAAATCATTATACCAATCTAAATACAATCTGATCAGGATTCTAACTTTATGTTTACGATTTTCCAGGACATCAACAACAGCTTGACTATGAAACATTTGAAGTCAACTGTGTATGAACTGCAAACACAGCTTTGGAGAGATACTATCAGACTCTCATAACCATGATTAAGATGTGTTGTTATGAAAACCCACAGGAGTGGGACAAAGAATTGGATTTCTTATTATTTATTATCAGAGATGAATCTGACTAGTTTGGTCAATTTGAATTGATATATGTCATGTGATTCAAGTTCCAATAAAATTGATGAGGGAGATGTTGCTGAAAAATAATGAATCCTCAATGTTAGATTACATGCCCAAGTTTCTAGAAAGACTCATGGAAGCATGCAAGATAGCACCAGAGCATTTTAAATTTTCACAAGCAAAAGTGAAAGAAGGGGCAGCCAAGCACTCTACAACTAGAATATTACAAGTGGGAGATGAAGTATTGGTATTGTCATTGTAAGCTGAACCTCTGAAAGCAAAATTCAGTGCTTCATGGTATGAGGTGATTATCTCATAGGCAATCCTGATCACAGGAAGAAGAAGATACTCCTGATCACTGGAAGAAGAACCATTTGTGTCACATAAACATTTTTAAACAGTATAATTGCTGGGAAGCAGATAAGGAGGAGCAAGTGTCTCAGGTGTTGAGGATGACAGAGACAAATAATAGTGAGGTGGATGAAGATGGAGACAGTTCTCAAAGTGAAATTCCTACAATTCAGTTAGGCAATACAAGAAAAAGAGGGACAGCTAGACATTGTGTTTTTACCTATTTACTGGATGGACAATGGATGGACTTTGTAAGATTACAAAGTTTGTAGCCATGTTAGAGGTTGAAACCATTGTGTAGACGATAATGAAACTCTCTCCTCCCTGCCGAAACGTTGTGGTAGTGACAGACACAGCATAATTCAGGAAACGTGCACACATCTATCAAGGTCAATTAAATAATCACGTGAGACTTCAATCTTCATATAAAATGGGCAAAGCAAATTTGCTGTATTGATGTGGAATACAAGTTCACAGAAAGTATAAATCAGCATATCAATGAAACAACTGGGAACAGGTTATTTTGGATTGAGGGTAAACCAATAAGAAAGAATTAATTTGTAATATTGGGGTGTGATTATTTAATTGACCTTGATAGATGTGTGCATGTTTCCTGAATTATGCTGTGCCTGTCACTACCACAAAGTGTTGGCAGGGAGGAGAGAGTTTCAATATTGTCTACACAATGGTTTCAACCTCTAACATGGCTACAAACTTTGTAATCTTACAAAGTTCATCCATTGTCCATCCAGTAAATAGATAAAAACGCAATGTTTAGCTGTGATATTAGGGCAACGAGGTTAGAGAAGAGTTATGCTCCAAGGCCTTCTGGTCTCTGGGTCATTGATGACCAAACAAATGAACCAAATTGTGCATCAGGACCCCCAAGAAGAACCAACGCATGGACTCTGTGGATGTTGCTTAAGAAGTTTAAATTTCCGAGAGGCAATTCCCCTGCTCCCCTTTGAAAAGATCTCTGTCTCTGTGTAAGAGTCGGAGAATTAGGACAGTCCCGACTTACTTACTTGGATAGTTATCCAGGAAATGTTACACAAAATATTCTTGGTGTAACCCCTGGATAACTAAACTGATCGCCACCCCTCAGCTCCCTCTTCATTCATTTTGGAAGGATGAACAAAAGAAAAGAGAGTGTTTGTCGCAATCATTACCTCACTTCCAATTGCTATGTTCAGATCCACTCTTTCTGACACCTAACCTTCCCTTTTCACTGGGTGTAGTGATTGTAATGAGGTCAGCCAGGTGGACCTCATAGAACATGAGTTCCTGATTGGAGCTGTTAATCTGGCCCAATCGGGGAGCCCTGGCTGACAGATAAGAAAAGGAATGTCGAACATCTTGTTCACTCTAAGAGCTGGCTCTGAGGGAGCTGTATCAGTGTCAAGGACTCTCCACGTATAAATAAAGGGTGACTTGTTGAAAGGATATAGGCCTCTGTGGATTTATTTCACTGGGGACAAACTCAACAAAAACAATTTGATTTATACAGTGCTTTTGAAAGGAGTAAATGCATTATGGTGCTTCACGGAGCTGTTATCTCACAAACTGCGACACTAAACCACAAAAAGAAATATGAGGGCAGATGAGCAAAAACTTGGTTTTAAGGAATACCCATTCAGAGGGAGGTTTTAATGAGCATCTTAAAAGGGGGAGTAATGTCAAGGGGTGTAGGGAGGTGGTTCCAGAGCTTAGGACCTGGATAGTGTGGTCATTGAAGTTGGACCCATTCAAATTGAGCGTCTCAACAGGCTAGAATGCACTTAGCTCGTGCATTCTAGGCAGGTAATAGAACAGGATTGATGGGAGCAGGATATGGAGGGATCCCCAATCTGGCACATTGCAAGGTAGGTCAGAAAAATGAATGAAAGAATATAAAATATTAACTTCAGCAGGGCCTGTGTGTCCTGAAATTTTTGGATTTCCCCCCTTTGACTGCACATCTCTGCCCATTCCCCATATATATATTGGTGCAATGACTTTAAAGTTTCCAATATTTAACTAGGGAAATTTCTGCTCCTCCAGTACTGGATATCAGGCAAACAGGCAATGGAACAGTTAAGAGGGTGGGTAGACTTACCTGCCATCATCATAGGTGAATGATGAATTTTCAGATGACTATTGCTGAAGGGCAGAGCCTAGATGAGAAATAGGTGGGGTAATCATAGATCCTTGAAGGCTCCAGAGATAACTGAAATGTTGAAGCAGGAAGAGACACCATTGTAGGTGATAATCTGCTAATGACCAGATAGAAAGGAATGAAACCGGGATAACTTGCAAAGGATCCTACTCATCAACAGTTGAAGTTGACTTGAATCATTCACTCTGAAATTTGTCTAATTCAAAGCTCTTCAGAGATAACCATGTCCCATGAAAAGCAAAGTCTACAACTTGTTGCAATGAGTAATGAGCTGACTCAGTCTCCAATGCAGCAGCAGAGATGCACAATAAGAAGGCAATAATAATGGGGGGGGGGGGGAAAAGAGTTGTTGAGCAAGCTACTGATATGCTGTTGCTCTTTATGCACTTCTGCCCAAGATCAATTTCATCCTTTTCTTGCATGGAGTATAAAAGATTATGTATTTTTTTTTAAGCAAACAATGCAGTAGACTAGGGAGAAATGTGAGCAAATTACAGTCTCACTTGTAGGCAACCCCAGAGTTCTGTGGGAAGAGGTGAATGGGTTTGTACAGTTGCATAGGAAAGTGCTTAAGAAATTCACAAGTTATATTAAGTAAAGCAGCCTCATCTGAAATTCAAGAAGTGCCTGAGAATACAGAACAAGCATTTCAATTCACATGAAATATAAAACATTACTGAGCAACCAATCTCTCTGTTTCTCATTTTCCATTACCTAGAACTTTTATAGGCCAATTTCCCAGGCTTAGGAACCAACTTAATGTTTTACTGTGACAAAGACTTAATAATGGATTTTGCTAGTACTCTGTTATGCAAAAGCAAGGACAAATGAAGGACTTGACCTGTTGCTCGTCCTTCAGGTATCTTGTCTGTCCTCAATTTCCTGGTACAGTGCCTGCCGTCATCCATTATAACTTAATAGACTAATTACTTTTATTGATTGACATTTAAAGTGCTGACCTGGGCTGTTTCCTAATTATTAACTCCAGCTGGTTCCAATTGTCTTTATTTGAACTCGTTCAATCCCATTTTCACAGATAGGACTGACTTCTCCACCACTAGAGGCAATGTACACTGGCTGGCCTAATTGAAGTGGGAAAAATTGAGAAGTTTTCCATTCCAGGCAATCCAAGGTAGGAACACAAAGTTAACACTGTTACTTCTTCATCATGAGAGAATTATGTAGTCTAGACTGGAGATTAAACTTATCTCAAAAGAATCATGAGAATAAATGGTCATTTTGCCTGCAGAGTTATTGTATTAGGTTTCCAGTCTAATTTAACTAGTCCAGATAAACCTACCTCTGACCTCTTCCAATTATCACACTCCAGTGTTGTGATCTGCCCATCTGGTTCCTTCTGTTTGAGCCCTGTTGTTATTCCTTCGCTGCATGTTAGCCTAACTTTTTTCTGCATCCATCTAATTGGCAAGTCAAATCTGTAAAAGTATGTTAGAGTTCTTTCTTAACAAGTCACTCAGTACAAATGGGCTGTATCCCAGATTGCTGTAGGAAACTAAGTAAATCTTGTAACCACGATCTTGCACTCTTCCTTGGGCAGATCACCAAGAGGACTGAAGTGATTCAGTTGTTCCATCCTTGTTCAAAAATTAGGAGTTGGGGACTACAGACAGGAAGCACTATCAACTGAATCACAGTGGAAGCATTGAAATATAAGAACGTATTAAGGGTTAAGTTGAAATTTTCAAAGTTCAGTATTAGTTATTTAGTAATACAGAACTTGATTGTTGCTGTATAAAAAAGATACATCCTATTCAAGTACGTAAGAACTAAGAGCAGGAGTAAGTAATTCAGCCTCTTGAGCCTGCTCCGCCATTTTGATAGTATATAGACCTCATCTTGGCCTAAACTCCATATTCCTGCCTGATCTCTATAACCCTTCAATTCATTTAGAATTAAAATTCTGTCTGTGTCTTCCGTAGATTTTCTCAATTTCCCAGCATCTACAGCACTCTGGCATTGAGAATTCCCTAGATTCTATGAAGGGAAGTAATTTCTTCTTATCTTGGCTTTAGAATAAGGGGTAACAGATTTAAAATAACGATTGATATTCTTCATTTCCCCATGTGAGGAACCATCCTTTCTATGATTACTTTGTCAATCCTCTTTAGTATCCTAGATAACTCAGTGAGATTTCTTCTCATTCTTCTAAACTACAGAGAATATAAACTTAAAAGCTCAATCTCTCTTTGTAAGACAAACCCCTCATCTCTGGAGTCCTTCTCTGGCCTGCCTCCAATGCAACTACATCTCTCCTCAAGTAAGGAGAACAAAATTGTGTATGATAATCCCAGTGAGGTCTCATGAATGCCTCGTACAGTTGTAGGATCACTTTCTTACTTTATATTCTATTCCTTTAACAATAAATGCCAATATCTTGCTCTCATTTGGATAATGCATAAGCAACACCAATGTAAAAGGAAAACAACCTTCTTTATAATAGATAACACAGTGTGGAGCTGGAGCAACACAGCAGGCGAGGCAGCACCAGAAGAGCAGGAAAGTTGACGTTTTGAGTCGGGACCCTTCTTCAGCTTCATCAGCAACATTAACTTTTCTGCTCCTCCAATGCTGCCTGGCCTGTTGTGTTCCTCCAGCTCGACACTGTGTTATCTCTGACTCCAGCATCAGCAGTTCTTACTATCTCTAAGCTTCTTTATAATATAGTGCTAATTGGTTAGCAAGTAGACTCTAACTGGTAGAGGCATTGCCATGAAAAATACAACAATAAGATGACATCTAACAGTTAACTGCCATGTTTTGTTTACATTTAAGGCAGGCAGGTTGACTCTGGATTGGTTCAGGCATTAGCTAAGGATAGAGCCAGAAAAAAGCTGGTATCAATTTTATTGAGTTGAAAGGGTGTGATGGGTGTACATTTTCTTTCTGTCTGCAATGTGTGTGTTGTCTTTGTCTGCAAGGAATAAGCCCTGTGTATTCATTTACCCGTTGCTTCTAATATGTCCACAAATATACTTAGACAAAGTACAATTTTTTTCTGCAATATTCACAACTTAACTAAAGAGCTTTACATTGATAGTTTCCTTTATATTCTTAGTTATAGAAAATTATGAGAAATTAAGTAGTACTCACGAGACCAATAAGAAGAGTTAGGAGTGGAAGAAAATTAAATGATGGGACTGTTGTATGCTTGAAGAGAATCTCTCCATCAGTAATTTGTTGTCTTACAATTCAATTAGATGGCAGCACTGCTTGGCTTTGGATCTTATCCTCATCATTATGTTCCTGAACTATTTCCTTTTTTGTTCTCTGAAGGGTCTGCTTCCTCTCAAATGAACTAGTTGCACGAAATGCAATAAACAACCATGAATCTGAAGACTTGCTTCAGGCTATACTGTAGGGGTCAACCCAGACCATCCAGGCACTGCAACCTCCAAGCTTCAGCATGCATACTGTTTGCTCTGTTTCTCAAAAGCTCTCATTGTGTCAGTGCCCAGCGTCTGTCTGACAGAAATCATGAGCTGATGATCATACTCTAGGTCTTGAAACAGCTGGGCTAATACTTTCTGGTATAGACAGGAGACAGCGTATCACGAAGCCTGGCCCTTTATGATCTGGCACAATGTCATGACTATGACAAGGAAACCAATCACAGATCAGCCTAACAGTCAAGGTACAGAATCCCCTATTGTTATCAAATATGGCTAGTTTTGAAGGGAAAAATTACAGGATTTTCTGCACAGTGAGCAGACTTTGGACCTGGGGAAATCTGGTGATGTGAGCAAATCTGAGAGCTTATTCATCCTGATCAACTGTTTGCATTTTGAAGGTGGTGCATTGCTGTGTCTGTATGAAGAAGTCTTCTATGAGTAGTGCTGTGGCCACGTGGACAAAACAAAGTGATCTGACAAAGGGGCTACATCCGAAAGCTTGTGATTTCAAATAAACCTGTTGGACTATAACCCGGTGTAGTCTGATGTCTGGCTGTGTCCATCCCAGCCCAACTGATTGACCCTGTGGCACAGATGTTGAGGACTATATTTAGCTTTACAATTACAGGCCATGCTGTTGTGTGCTCCAGGTTTCAGTTCAAATTCCTGCTGCAGCAACTAACACAGTTACTAATGTATTGAAACCTTCTCCACTGCTAATGTTCTTATGCGGGATCCGCAAGTTATATGGTCTTCTTGGATCTAGCTTTCTTTAATGTTTTCTTTGTGCTGCCACAGGCTTGCACTACTATGTCTGCTTCTGTGGCGTAATCAACAGTAATCACAAAACTGTTCTTGTTCTTTTTCAATGCTCTTGCATCAATAGAGTAGAAAGCAACATTTTCAACTAAAATTTTTGCATGTTATCAAAATACATATTTAATGAGGAAAGACAGTATCTATGAACACTCAAGGGCGCTCAGTGGTTAGCACTGCTGCCTCACAGCACCAGGGACCCGGTTTTGATTACACCTTTGGGTGAATACCTGTGTGGAGTTTGCACATTCTCCCCGTGTCTGTGTGGGTTTCCTCCCACAGTCAAATGATGTACAGGTTAGGTGGATTGGCCATACTAAATTGCTATAGTGTACAGGATTAGCCATGGGAATTGCAGGGCTAGAGGGGTTGGGTGGAATGCTCTTCAAAGGGTGAGTGTGGGTATTGATGGGCTGATTGGCTGACTTCCACAATATGGGGATTCTATTCTAAATCTCAACATTGCAAATTAATTTTAAAATACTGACTGTTTTCTATTTTGAATCAAAATGTTCCTAACTTAACAAAATTAAAGAAAATTGCTCTGCAAATTTATAACTTACATTTTAACTTTGCAGAGACAACTTCCTTCCATTTCTCTTATTGGTAGCTGCTTCAATGGTGAATACATTCGCGGTTCATGATCAGAGTTTCCTTGTGGATGACACATACCTCTCTGCTTTCTGCAAATCCTTTATGTTTTGTCTCTGCTTTTTCCTTACACTCATGGAAGTCAATATACAATAAGGAAAAATGGTATGGAAACGATAATACTGCCCTGGTATTTTGCAAAGTAACAAAGACATAAAATAAGTTGCACATGTTAGAGACTGATATATCTAATTAACTTATAAGTGCAATTTCACAATATAACCCTTGAACTGAAAATAGTTACTTTGATGCAATGTTTAATGCCATCAGCGAATGTGCATCTCCTGCCCATTATTTTTCATGCTACTGGTAACATTCTGTACTTGAAAGTCATTACTACTGTGTCTCTTGTTGCCTTCTCTTGTTGTATTCTGATATCCACAAATTCTTGGAATATTTGCGGGTGTGCTGATTGTCAGAAAAACATCATTAAAGCCATAACCACTGAGGGGAAATAATGTTAAACCTCAAAAATTGCCCGCTTGGAATGGGTAAAAGTTAACATTGAAAAATAAAATTGTTGAGAATCTGAGACAACAGTGTGGAGCTCGAGGAACACAGCAGGCCAGGCAGCATCAGAGGAGCAGGAAGGTCAACATTTCGGGTCAAGACCTTCTTCAAAATCTGTTGACTTCCAATTTTAAGAGGCAGGAGAAGGGAACAGATGACAAATCACTGCTAGTTGGCCAACAGCATTGTAATGTATTGTCCAGGCCCATCAAGCTTTTCTGCATACAAAAACAGAAGTTGCTAGAAATGCTCAGCAAGTCTGGCAGCATCTGTGAAGAAAAATCAAAGTTAACATTTTGCGTCCAGTGACGCTTCCTCAGCTTTTCTGTGTAACAGAGTAGAGAGTATATTCAAAGACCAGGCTGGTAAAAATATATGCCTGTAAAAGAACCTGGTTTTCCTCCCACTGATTTCAATCTTCACTTAAATAATTGTAAAGTTGTGTGAAATAAACATGATTTTTACTCAGTCTACAGCTGTAGTGCGAGCACCGTCTCAGTATTTCTGACAATTTGAACTACATTAACACCAGGGCCAGTTATTCAGTGGCAGATGGATTAAGCCTTCCTAAACTATGTTCACTACATGGCCATCAGGGAAATGAAGCGTTCATTCTATAAATGTGTGTTTGATTCACACCCACCCCTCAGACCTGAAGAGAAAAGGTAGTTGAAAATAAAAGTCATTCTTAACCTTCAAAACCCAGAGAACAGAAACACCAGGCTTAATTTTCCCAGTCCTGGACAAGGGAGGTAGTGGCACCAGGAACCAAATTGGAAAATAATCTATTGGATTGGTGACCTGATATATATTGGCCTACAAGTTATCTCATTGGGGGTGAGGTGAGCATGGCTCAGTGGTTAGCACTGCTGCCTCACAGCTCCAGGGACCGGGCGATTCCACACTCGGGCGACGGTCTGTGTGGAGTTTGCACATTCTCCCCGTGTCTGCAAGCGTTTCCTCCAGGTGCTCCGGTTTCCTCCCACTGCCCAAAGATGTGCAGGCTAGATGGATTAGCCCTGCTAAATTGCCCATAGTGTTCACAGATGTGTAGATTAGGGGGATGGGTCTGAGTGGGATGCTCTGAGGGTCACTGTGGACTTATTGGGCTGAAGGGCCTGTTTCCACACTGTAGGGATTCTATGATGATAATTAACTGTCGGGCACTAAGGAAGGAAGCCCTTTACTGGGCAAATTGCAGGAAGAATGCCACCATCACTGGAACCTTTCCAACAACTGCCCGAGCAGCCATGTTGTCTGGAGACCAGAATTGGTCCAAAGGCAGACTCTGGGTGGCAGGCTAAAGGATTAATGCCTCCTGTTCATCGGTCTACCACAAATCCATTGGGAGATGATGGCCACAGTCATTGCAGTAGCCATCCTGTGGAAAACATACAACAATGACCTGACAACAGTAGACTTGGGAGATGTTTTAACTGCTCACAAACCTTCAAAGAGTTGTTCCATTTTGAAAGAGTGTCACGGCCTACCCCAGCCTGGCCAACCTCTCCAAGTGGTATTTGCTGGCTGGACTTGACAAAGGGACCTCTGACTGGGTTACTCATTTCACTGACCCACCCACTGCCACTAACTGAATAGAATTCCTCGAGGTCATTTCTATCATCATTTCCAGGAAGATCATGAGCAATGTTCTGCTGCAAACACTTTTGAGTCCCTAATCCAAAATTAAGGCCAATGCCTAGGTCCTAAGAAAATTTCAATGCAGTTTTTTTTGTATATATTGACTGCCAATGATTCTTGGGCATTGTTCACCTCCAAAACATTTGGTGAATAGTGTATAATAACATAGTGGCTTTCAGTTTCCAATTGACACTTCAATGTAATTCATCCCAAATTGTTATGACCAATCTAAAAGAACACAGAATTTAAACTCTAAAATCTAAATTACTTTTAATGTGAATCAAATTTTCTTGATCAGTTATGTCTGTTTGAAAACAAAACATCATGCTAGAAGCTGGTACCAGCCACAAAATCAGTCTGGCCCACTGGTGATCACCATTATAAAGTTTTCATTAATTATGCTCATTTTTAGACCTTTGAGGAAATACCAAAATAAAGTCAGAAAGAAATGTTTACAAACCTTTTCAATAGACTTAATTTTAATTTGTAAAGTGCAGTAGGGATGAAGGCATTAAATTAAAAGGATTAAAATTTAAATAAAAGACAGGATATGCCCATTTGTTTAACCCATTATAACAATTAAAGCCTACATATGGATGTTATCCATTGCTACGATGAGATAAGGGGAATTGAAAATCCAGACAAGATGGTTAAATTTAACAAATATTACAGAACCCCTGGAAGGTGCTGTCCAGTGGTTAGGTCTTTTTTTTAAAATTGTGGTAACAACTGTTTTTTCTAACTCAGTCCTAATTCACTGCCCATTGCTGGCCAATTCTCTTTCACCCGCTGATTGCATTTTCTCTCTAGCATTTTGCTGAACACCTGGACTAGGACACTAACCAGCTGATGCCATTCTCCCCAAGACACCAACAATCTCTCACCAATGCTCGCAATCTCTTGAGGAGAGAGGTGGGTACCATGGGGAATGCATGTTTTATTTCCCCCTCAAACTCCATTTTGATTTAGTCCTCTTCTGCTCACCTTAGCCCTTTTCTCACATTTGATGTCTTACATTGTCCATAATGGGCATTACATGCCAATGCCCAGTTGGCTGCATGGGTGATTTACTGTTGATGGGTAATAGTTTTGTGTGCTAGTGCTTCCAGATGTGGAAAAATAACAACCTCTGTGTTGCAACTGATGCCAACAGGTCACTTGTAAGAAACAAATAAAACTAATGGATTGACTTGCTATCACCTTCCTGCCATTCTCATTAGGAACGTGCAGTTTTCTTAACAACAGAATTTATTCCTGGATCTGGGCTTGATCCAATCTCTGAGTATAATGCCCCTTGGGAACAGCTGACAATCTGCTCCTTTCTCTTGGTTAATGCACTGTCTCTCCTCATTGATTAAGTCTGTTCCTGGAATCTAGCAACAGTAGCCGCCCTGTATCACTATGTTTTTGCAAGTAAATTATTCACTAACACGTCTGCCGTAATTTGTTCTCAAGTTTCTGTTTTGAAAGTTAATGCTTAAAGAAACCAATAGACACTTACATTCAAATCAATAGTAGATAACAAGAACATCTAGTTTTTACCATTTCCATTCAACCAAGGTCAGACTTTTGTCTGTGTCTTCTTCCTACAGGTCAATGCTGATGAGTCATTTGTAACCAGTCCGATGAGAGTTTGCCTCAGCTGAAGTCACATCAACCAGTTTCTTGTTACATCTATTTTTGAATTTCTGAACATTCAACTTTAGCAGAATAACATTCTTAATTCTAGTATCATGAAGTAACAAAAAACATCAGAAAGATGCAAGCAATTATTAAATAAAGAAAGTAATAATATGTTGGGGACAGCAACAGAGCAACTTAAAATGGACTCATTATATTCCAATATTTGAATGGATATCAGTCTTCTGTCTGTACATATTAATATAATATATAGTAAATTACAGCAATCTATTCTGGCAATTATTTCTAATAATGAAACCAATTCTGCCTCACTTTCATTGGTACAAATTTTAATGTTGACATTTTGGGAAGAATGACTCAAAATAGAGTAATTCAGCACAGTAATCTTTTTTTGTGAAATGAATTAAAGTTTCAAGTCTTTGAGTCTTTTGCTTCAGTGAAATCCATAAAGCACTTGTAATTGGGAAACCTTATGGACGATGAAAATTATAAAATGCAGTGGTAACTCAGTACACAAAATGCTGCAACGAGTAGCAGTCAAATATAATATTTGGCAAGACATTGGCATAGTGGAATTGTCTTTGGACTAGTAAACCAGAGACCCAGGTTAATGCTTGGGGCATGTAGATTTAATCCCACCAAGGTAGTTGGTGGAATTTAAATCCATTTAATAGATCTGGAACCGAAAACTTGTCTCAGTGATGACGATCATGAAACTCTTATTGATTGTCATAAAACCCCATCAGTAATGCTATTTACAGAAGAAAATCTGCCATCCTTGCCTGTTCTGGCCTACATGTTACTTCAAATCCATAACAACATGGCTGACCTTTAATTGCCCTCGAAAGAAGCCCCAGCAACCCACACAGTTCGAGGCCAAAGATGGGCGATGAATGCTGGCCTTCCCGGCATTACCCACATTTAATGAATGAAAAAGAAATTTAAAATTGTCACTAGCGAGATTTAATGGAATAGTACAGTACATCATGAAAAGGCTACCATCAACCTCACAAATAGCAATGTTTGTCACATTGCATTCCAAGCTGAGACGCACTTTATTCATTTCACCTACGCAATTCCAGTGGGAACAAAATTGAAATTGCTGACAGAAAAGTGAAATAAGGTAGGCGGTGAAATTTTGAAATTTTGAAAAAAAAAAATGCACTGCTAATATTCAGCAGGTCAGGCAACATCTGTGGAGAGAGAAATAGAATTGAAATGGTCTATTAATCCAGAGACCCCAGGAATGATCTTGGGGACCCAAATTCAAATCCTGCCATGGCAGATGGTGGAATTTGGATTGAATTAAAAATTTGGAATTAAGAGTCTAATGATGACCATGAAACTAGTGTCAACTATTGTAAAACCCATCTGGTTCACTGATGCCTTTTCAGGAGGGAAACTGCCATTTTTATCTAGCCTGGCCTGTATGTGACTCCAGACTCACAACAATGTGGTTGACTTTTAACTGCCCTCTGGGTAATTAAGGATGGGAAATAAATGCTGGCTAGCCAGTGATGCCCACATCTCATGAATGATTTTTTTTAAAAAAATGTCCTGTTGAGACAATATGGCTCGGCAACAGCAAAGTTAAACTAAATTTGCAAAAGCTGTAAGAATTAACAATTATTCATCATTGATGGATTATTGTGGCATGAAACCACAAGGAAAAGAACAGACATTTCTTAAATCTGTAAAGGATATTCACATTTTCTATTTTAGAAAAGGTCCCTAAACCAGCCACTTCTTGCTATTCTTTCATTTAACAATCAAATCATTAGTTTTGAAACATGATTTTACATCCAAAAGGCCTATGTTAACAATAAAACATGCAGTAAATACTTGATTATAGTCCTTTTTTGATGAAGGGTCTAGGCCCGAAACGTCAGCCTTACTGCTCCTATGATGCTGCTTGGCCTGCTGTGTTCATCCAGCTCTGCACCTTGTTGTCTCAGATTTTCCAGCATCTGCAGTTCCTACTATCTCTGATTATAGTCCTACTGCTTTTACATGTATCAGGTAGATAGATGACAGATCTTTGGGTACATAGGGTATGCCATCACTTCTAAAATACTATGCTATTTGAATCACTTACCATTTCGTTGATGGTAGTATAAAAAATGCTGTTCAAAATATACCGCGTTCAGTACTGCAATTCAGTTTTGAACTTGTTCGGTGTCATTCTATAATCTGATATGAAACACTCTCGGAGAACTTGCTCACTACCTGTCTAAATTTACATGTACAGTAGACTTTTTTGCAAGAAACTTGTGTAAACAGCTTACTTAGAATATTGTTTGATGCAAGTTCTGAATATGTCAAAGAATTTGAAACAGCTTTATTAAATTCCAAATGTCAGCCCCTGTAGATGCTTTTCATTATTACAACAGGAGCACTGCTTCACATGTACTCCTCCTTATTCTTCCATCCTCTCTATTTTGAAATGAAGAATTGCAGCTTCATCCAACTAATTTTATTTTTATACCTCAAAATGATGGAGCTTCTTGCCAGCTTTAGTTTTGTCTTTGTTCTGAAAGCCATAGGTGAGGTAAAGTTAGACTAGTTTTGCCTAATCACTTAAGTGTGAAGTTGTTCTATACTTCAGAAGAAAATTTGTCAGTCACGATTTGCTATGGAGGTTTTAACACCCTAGCAGCTCTTCTTTCTTGAGTGCTCTTTGACTATCTGTTTGATGCCAGATAATAAAGAGGAGTGATACTGTTTTGTCTGGTGAAATTTAGGAATGGAGCAGAACAAAATTGAAAACCATTAACTGAGTCAAACTCCTCAAGTAATCCATGGCAAGTAAAAACGGATTGTAATTTATCCATTGATCTTGCAGCCTTGGTGGTTTGACCCATGTGTTCTGCTTTGATCCACTTCAAGTGATGATCAAAAGGTACCAGTAAATTTTAATTTTCCTTCTCAAAAATGATCTGTTTGAAATGGAAGACTTGAACATGCTCATGATTAAAAAGGAGGTTCCTCCAGTTTATTTCTAGAGTTTTGGCAGATGTGTGCAATCGATTCTAATCACTGTCTGGACACATTCTCCTAAATGAGCATAGAAAATCATAAAAATAAACTGAAGATCTGTGGAAAATAAATTATATTTCAGGTTGTGGCCTTTTGTCAGAACTGGCACAGACCCTTGCTATGGAAGTCATATTGACTATTCCTGCATGTTCAGTTTGCAATTCTATTAGAACCCTACTTCTCAAAGGTAACACCACTCTGACCCAATACTCTTGTTCACAATGCAGCTCATTATGATGATTTTGGAAAGGTTTCAGTTGCTTATCTGTACGCTGGTCAAACTCCGTCTAACCATTCAATGTCCATGCCTATGCTCTTTTCAACAGAGTCTGAATCCCACATGCAATTTCAATTTCCCTGACTGAAAATTCACCATCTGCTCCCATGTGAAGATTGTACTTTCACTATCTCATCGTGATGCAGCACACATGACAGTGTGTCAGCAATAGTATTCTCTTTCAGGCTGTGATATTTGATGTATAGGCCTTCTGTGAGAAATACAACCTGCCACTGCGTCCTTGACACTATCATCATTGGAAACAATACTCCCAGAATAGCTACTCAGGGTTTATGATACGGGTTTAGGAGCATAAAGTTCCTACCCAGTAAAACCAGTGAAACATTTGATTCCAAAAAATGATTTTGAGGACTTCTTTTTCTCTTTCCCTACGCAGCTGTATTTACTCTTATTAAAAGTATGTGATGTAAATCCATGACATGACTGATCATTGTTGTGATTCCATAGTTTGAAATGCCACATGCTAGCTTCAGTTCACAATCTGTGTCAGAGTGGATCAAATTTCTCTTACATGCATCAAAAGCAACTTGTTGCATTTTAGGTCATTCCCATTTCATATCTTTCTTCAACAATCCAGGTGGTGGAGTTACCTATGCTCTTGCATAAATCATAATCCTTCCATAGAAAAGGCAAATTGTTTAGCTTTGAAACATTAACTTTATTCTCCAACTTTTCTTGCATTAACTGTAGCACCTTTTAATTGATTTTCAGACCAAGGTACATTACCATGGATTGCATGAAAGCACATTTGCTCTTTTACAATTTCATATTGTGATCATTAACACTTCATCCAACACTTCAAAATTCTCTTCCTTTGCTGCAGTCACAATCAACACATCATTGTGATTGCCGCAGTCTGGCAAAACCTCATCCTTTGAAGCTTAGAAGAGTTTTGGAGAAGGTTTCATACAATCGGGAGACTTTGTGAAGTGGAATAACCCCATGTGTGTGTTTATTGTGAGATATTGTTGGATCTTGTTTAAAATTGAACTGAAAATAAAAGTGAAACAAGTTCATTTTCGTGAATACCTTGGATCTTTCTAACACTACATAAAAATCTTGGGAGATCACCGTCAATTGCTTAGTTAATTCTGCCTTTGTAGTCCCTACACAGCCTCACGGTTTTGTTTGATTGGTGTTGTGCTTTGATAGTCATTGTCTAATCACTACAGTTAGATTTCACTCAGACACCATTTCTCCCAAACTTCCTTCGTTGTTCTTTTTATTTGGGTTTTGAGAATATAAAGAACTTTCCTAGTTTTGCAACAGGCCTGATGTGGAACGTTCTTTTGCACTGATTAAGTCTGCTTATAACTGTCTTCGAAAAAATTGTCATGGATATTTAATAGCTGTTCAAACTTCTTGATTATTTTGACCTAAAATATATATTTAAACTCTAACAGCAGCTAATGAAGCTGATCCTTACCCACTAATGTTGACAAATGTCATGGCAACAATGAATAGCATGAGGAACATCCATTGATTTTGGACATTGCAATCTATGTGGCCTCACTTTTATAATACCTTCCGAGAGTATGTTTTCGATTGAATCATTCTCTCAGTTGGAGGTACTCCACTGAATTTTCTCTCAAGTGTATCTTTATGCAACATTTGCAGCCACATTGATGCATATCACAATATACTGTTGATTTATGAACACCTTCATACAATCATATCAGACATTTGAGTGCTTGCTAGTCACATAATGCTGTACAACCCTAGTTCCTGTTTTGTTCAAGCACTCTGGGTTCACTTCAAGTTTGTGGTCCCCTCTATACTGGGGAGATGAAACACAGGCTGGACAACTGCTTAGTGAAACATCTACACTCTAGCTGCAAAAAAATTATCCTGAGCTTGTAGCTGGTTGCCATTTCACCACGCCACTGTGTTCTCTGGCCAACATTTCTAACTCTGGCTTGTTGCAGTGTTCCATTGAGGCTCAACACAAACTG